TTTATCCTTTGTTAGTTAAATCATTTACATTTAACTATATAAAACACATAGTATGGAATGTTAGTATTTTTTTTAAATAAAAATTTATATGAAATTGTATGTTTATTTGAATAATATAAATGTTGATTGCGACAATTTCATATATCTAATTACAATTTTCGTTCCTTTAGTTAGTATAATGAATGGATCTTTACACATTTTAGATAATTTTCTATGTAAATGAATTTGTGTTGATCACTGCCAAGTCATTTTAAAAGGGCATTCCTGCGTCAAACCAATTTATATAAAATTGTGGTCTCAAGTGTACCATATTATTTGTATTTATCTTTGTATCTACAATTATTATATGATAATGGTCTCTTATGTTAATTCAGTAAAATGTAATAAATGTGAAACGATTGTTTTATTTACAACTTCATTTATAACCCATTTCAAACTTACACTTGGGGAAAAAGCCAATGTGAAATAAAATAAAAATCTTAAATGTATAAAATCCAATATAATTTTCAAACTAATATAAAATTTTTAGTAAATAACTTATTGTCAATTTTAATATTATATAACAGTAGCATCTATAATAAACTTTGTAATATTAAAAGCAAAGTTAGTCATACAAAAAGTCATGATTATTTCGAGACACGATTGACTACAAAGAGGTAGATATGAGATTACAAAAGATTTGAGAGATGATTTATATCAAGTGACATGAAAAACTAATAAATGCACACATATTTTTTTAAATAAATAGAATATCATATTTAAAAGTCAAAACTGAAAGAAATTAAATGTCTTAGAAAATAAAAGATAATAAAGTTGATAAAATTCAAATAAAACTACTGAAAAATTAAGCTATCCATTCTATACTATTGGTACAATCTTATTTCATTTATAAATATATTTTTTGCTTCAAGAGATAAAATTGTCATATCATCTATTGTACCAAATATCAATGTTGACATAGATTTCACTACAAATATCTTAACACAGCTAACATTCAGATAAAATGTATAAAAAACTCAATAGAACATGATTACAATTCATTTGACTCGAGCTATTTATCATATGTAAAGACCGGTTGGTGTTATCAACAAGCATCTTAGTGTTCACAGCATCCTGTAAATCTATTCTTACACTAATCTTTAAAAAGATGTTAAAAATAGTTATGCTAAATCATAGAAGTCAAAATTAGACTAAATGACTATTGAATACAACCCAAGTAATGGTACATGCTTCATAAACTACTTGTGACTTACAGAAGACAGTTTTAATAGTAATAAAATTAACACCAACATAATCATGTAATTACAAAATCAATTTATACAAAAGATAAAATTGTCTAACTTATAATTTAATAATGTTGTATAAATTGCATTTAGCTGCCTTTAAAACAGGAATTTATTGTTATATATTTTTATCAACATATAATAGCATTGAAATATTAATCAGGATTTAACCATTATTTTATTTACATAATACTTCTATTTAAATGTATTGTTAGTATTTACAATTTGCGACCATAGTACATAGTTTTATAGACAGAATTTTAAAAGTAATTAACATTTTTGGTCCAAAATCCTTTATTCTATTTTTGAAGCAATCTCCTACATTAAAAGCCTTTAGTATAATTAAGAATATAGTAGCCACATCTTACAATAATTTACCATTAAATTCTAATATAAACTACATAGTGTTTCAAAGCATGTAAATTGCAATGAAATGATAAATTTGTAGACAGTCTATATGCATTGTTTGTTGTAAGCTCAATAAGTACATATTGCAATTAACATGTAGTCATATTACTGTCTTAATAAAAATGGTAGTCTATTAGCAAATAAACAAGAAATTATATACAACATACCAAAATAGAAATTTAATCTCGCTGTCTGACGCGGTACATATTGCATTGTGTCCAAACATCTAAACCTCCTCTCGATGTCAAATGCTCGAGGTAAAGTTAACATAGGCAATAAGAACCAAAGAGAACACCTCACAGATGCAACCACAAACATTATGTACGGAGTAAACAACAAAAACGCATACAGTAAATATGAGGCTGTTTTACCTACTAGAATGGCCAATGTAACAATTTCAGCCTTACTATCTATTTCTAAGTCCCTTGTATTATTACTATGTAATATAGCTTCAGTGTTGAGAGCAAGGGGTATAGCATAGTAAATAATTGGCCAGTCAACTCTACCTGTCTGTGCCAGAAATGAAAACACAACAGCCACTGGTCCAAATATGACTAGAACTACAATATCACCCAGAGCTATATATTTTAGGCCTATTCCACCAGTGTAAAGAAATGAGGATGACAAGCCACCGAAATACACTAAAGCTAGATGTTCCATTCTGGCAGGTGACAAGATAACTAAAAGTAAAAAGAATGCACAACCTGCCATGTACAATATAGCTCCTAATGATACCACTTCATCAATACTCAGTATACGGTCAACAAGAGTTCTGTCGTCGGATTTGCGGTTGTCAATGCCTTTGACAAAATCAAAGTATGTGTTAACTACATTACCCGCTCCGTGTACGGGAATAACGGTACAAAGGGTCAGAAGTAATGTTACCCAGCTGAATCCACTCTCTCCGGGCAGTCGGTATGATAGTGCAGCACCCAGTAACGTAGGTAACAAGCTTCCACTCAAAGACCACGGCCGCAACGCAAGTACGTATGTTCTTACTTTCATTAGCGGATTTCTTGAAGACGATACTTCTTCATTCGGTGGCTGGAGAAGATTACCATCTTCTGTGGAAATGTCATCATCGTTCTTCTTGTTTGTTTTCATTTTGACGGATACCGAAGTGAGCAAAAATATAACCTCCAAATTACGCTTAACTTTGAAAAATCAGGATAGATTGATGAAAAATGACTTAATTCACTTTGATTTCTAGTCGCTTTACGAAATGCTCATGTGGCATATCAAAAATAAAAATTACGCATAAACACTAGTAATTTTAACCACAACCGTTATTACTAAGATTACTTTAAATTAGAAGAGGTATAACGTATACAAACATCAAAACTGGTTTTCCGAATCGTCTTGTCTAATCAGAGTAAAGTAAAATAACGATTTCGTGTACTGTTATACTATGAAGTAATTAATAGGTATCCCAGATTTAGACACGAATGATTTTCGTACAACCACCGCTATCTATTTCAAAGAAAAGAATCTTTAAATTGAATTTTTAAATGATAAATGATGATAATGTAAAACGTCATTCTTGTATTGTCAACTTGTCAACTGTTGTCAATGTCACATTTCTCTATGGTTTCGTCACTTCCAGATAATAATCCTCTATCTAAAATAGTCAATGTATGATTCCTGTGCAATTATTCGTCAGTACGTCCGATTGCACTATGCTAGTTGCGGCAGAGTGACAAACTGGCCACAAAAGTAGAACGCTACTTCAGTCATTGGACTGCCCAGCTTACAAGTAGACCTTTTAAGTCATTTTCTATATTCTTAAGGCTTTTCATATTTCTGGAAGAAACAACCGACAGGAGTGCCTCTCTCACCGGACTAAAAATCCTTGTTTATCTTAATGTCATGATTGGGAGTTCCGTACAGTAATTACATATTGTACTGGTATTATCAAAGTGTACAAAGATGTCATTATTTGTGTGTGTTGAAATCGATTATTTTGATTCAAATAAAATCGAAAACATGGCATCCTTAACAACTGCAAGAAAGATTGACAACTGACAACACAAAACACAACTTTCAAAATAGAAAACAAACTTCAAAAACTGTGTTCGAGAAGTGGACAAATTGATCAAGTGTTTTTGATTGACTCCGAAAAGGTAAATAAATTGTAATACCTAAGATTAACACCTATAAAGTAATCCAGTGATTAATTATGTAAACGGAATCCACACTTATGGTAAATGATATAACATTTTAGGTTATTTGTTACACACCTAATTTGATTTTATACTTTAATTAAATATCGTTATATTAAAATGAAGCTAAAGGCCAAGCAATTATTTCAAATTCGTGGCTATAAATACGTTTTTATACCATATGTGCGTAAATACTGACATTTTACACAGCACAATAGCTATGCTGCTTGCTGCTTCTAAGGTAAACGTTATGTACTATTTGTTTTATGTATTATGATTATGTAAAAGTAAGGAAATAATGGATACAATTACATTTCACTTCTCACATTTTAATGATTTTATATTAGCCTTGTAAATTATTAATTTGAGCAATTGTACATAAATTAAAGGATACATAAGACAACAACAATGTGATACTTTGCGTATATTTTTCACAGTAGAAATCAGTATGTAAATATTATACACAATACAAACAAAATATTAACATAATCATATTTATGGTCCTTTATATTAGGTCTGATAAAATATGTGTTTAAATTGGGAAGTAAAGATATATTTTAAATTGATATAATTAGGAACACGCATAATTTATTCAGATTCCAAGACAGCAATAGCAGCGCCTTTGGCAGCATCTCCACCTGATGTAAATTCTAATGGCAGACTATAGAAATGTTCTACTGCTCTTTGTAACACAGCATTCCGAGACAACCCGGATCCATTGCCTACAATCCTTTTAATGTTTGCATTTTGTAATATCCTTTTCGGCATCATTATATGTAAATTGTCTATAATACTATCACATAGAGATTTAAAAACACAGCCCAATTGAATATTTGAAAGATCAATGTTTTCAACGGCTGCTTTAGAAGCAGGTGCATGTCTTTCTCCCAATAAATGTGGGCAAATTTTCATGGCAGATGTTGTAGGTGCTTCTAAGCCAAGAGCAATAAGTTTTTCCCAAACTTTTGATTGTGGTATAGGAAATCCAAATTCAAGCATCCACTGTTGAAGCATTTTTACAAATGTGGCGAGTACATTGCCTCCATTTAATGATGCGGCTACTAGTAAGTAAGTATTGTTAAAATAAGGCAAGTGTTCAACAGTCTTACATCCAACATCTTGAATACCGTTAACAACAACAGCAAGTTGAGCAGAAGTTGAAATATTCAAAACTGCATCCTCTCTATTTTCTAATGTTGCAATAATTGAACATTGTAAATCTCCTAGAGCTGCACCGACAGGAGTTCCCTCTGGGATACCATTCCAAGATTCACTCAGTACTCCAGCAATTTCACCACTTTTAACAACTTTAGGCAAAAGGTTAGTAGGAAAGTTAATTGAATTAAGAATGTCATGATTCCATTCATTTTTTTCTGTATTAAAATAACCCCAGCTGGCAGCATTCTGATCTGACATAACTGGATCTTTTAAATCACAGAGCATTGCTACTACGAAGTCTTGAACTGTTGATGAATGTGTGAAGCTCTTCAGTTTCTCCGGCTTATTATGTAGCATCCATAATAATGTTGCACAACCATATCCAGAGCAACAATTTAAATGTGAATCAGGTTTTGGTAATGACTCTAAAAATTCTGGCTTACACCTTGTATCTTGCCATGTATACAAGGCGGACATTTTTTCTCTTGTAGCTTCATAACGCATGACTACTCCTTCTTTTTCTACCTTTTCCCATGCCCTGTGAAGTCAATAAATACATGAATATTAATAAAATATGAAATACAGACTAATTAGGAATTTAATAGAGACAGGGTGCAAGTCAAATTAGCATTTAGTTATGAATATTTTTCTTTATGTTAAAATGTAATGGTAACGTAGATTTAAATGAGACACATAAAATTTAATAACCTTTATGTAAGAGATAATATAAACTTTGTATTATATTGTAGCATATTCATCATATGGAATTGTTACGAAAAATTATCTTCAATAGGTGTTTAACTAATTTTGACAATTCTTATACCACTTCAAAGTCGAATGAAAACATATTTGGTAGTTTTACCCGTTATTCCATAAGACGACTCCGTGCATCTGACCACAGACGCCAATTCTCGTGACATGTCGTAGAACATCCCTCGGAAGCCGGGACACGCAGTAATGTACGGCTGACACTATTTTAGGAACATCCTGTTTGTTCCCTTCTATGCCTTGATCGCTTGGTATATTCGCTGCGGTGTCCTTACTCTGTTTCGCGATTATTTCCTTAGTTTTTGGATCGTAGACGCACACTTTCACTGATGTCGTGCCAATATCCATGCCAAGAACATATTTTTTATCTGGCATATTGAATTGTTTATTTTGAATACTGTGAGTGAAATAATACAGCGTCGCAATGCCGTATTTTTGTCTGATATGCTTGATAGCGGGAACTAAATGTGGAATTTCCGATACGTCCGTTCTACACTGGGTCTGGGACCGAATGACTGCGCCGCATCGCGACGCCTCACGTTACGTAAAGTCTGTGTATATGACATACATCATGGAGTGGCTGATTTTTCTATCGCCCACTACTGCTTCAGCCCACCGTTAATTAAAAGCAATAAATAAATTCTGATAAACCATCATGATAAGCGTTTATATTGTTTTCATTTATACAGTGCATATTTATGATTGGAATTTAAGTAACAAATCATCTTTTATCATGTAATACAGGTGATGGAAGTAAGAAGAGATAAATCATGCTGTTTTGGAAAGTCCTTTATTTCGTCTTCTAGTTTGTGAATGCAATTGAAATTATAGCTTCTAGTTAAATTAATCATACTAATACTATAAATGCGAAAGTTTAGATGGATGGATGGACGGATGTTTGTTAGAGTTAGCAACCTAAACGGTTAAATGGATTTCGATGAAATTTGATATAGATGTAGAGGATAGTATGGAAGAACACATTGGCTACTCACTTTGTTTTTTTTAATTCCACGCGGACGTAGTCGCGGGCGATAGCTAGTTAATCATAATTATCCTTATCCATTTAATATAAACAAGCAATATAAAACCATTATCCTCGTGTAGTTCGTAGTGACTGTAGATAAATAATGACTTTTTAAATATGTTCTATTTGAGAAATATTAGTTCTTCGTCCAAATTTCTTTCAACATTATCATACATTTGCCTGTTACTAATTTAGCTTGCACTACGATTTCGCTCATTTGGATTATTTTCATACTCCGTTTAACTAAAACATAAATGTAAAATATTACTTTAAAGAGAACATCACTCCCATCACCCATAGTTAGTGTATATGGGAGCTTCAGACCACTTACAACTGAATATTTTATTTTTAATTTTAGATCCATTTTGTGCACTATGGATGTAATAATCGTTTACATCGTTCTTTAGGCCAGTTTGTACACAAACAAGCGTTTAGAATGTGGCTGTAAGTTTGTTACTTTATTTATCGTCACAGTCCATTTGCTTTGTACTTTATGGCTACGACCTCCCGCAAGGATAACGATGTACTACTTGTGAATACGATGTATGAGTGAGCTATATTTACTGTAATAATTGTATAATGGAAAACGACACTTAAGTCCCCCCAATTGTCGTGATTTGCTGTACTTTGTCACTCTTTCGTGCAGTGAGTGTTGCATTGTAGTTTTACGTAAGGCCCGATGCAAGAGATGTGTGTGATCGTAATCCATTAACTTTTGATTTGGTATCTAAGAAGGTCATCGTTAATGTTATCTAGGGTGTCTGACAGATAGGGACGCTACAGGTATGCGAATTACTCTCACATAAGAGTCTTACCCATTGCCATAGTAAAAACGTGAATACCGTACAAATATCTCCCAGGTCGCCAGTAGAGCTAACACCGACACTACATGGTATCGGACTCAAAAACATATTGATTAGTTTTTAAATGTTTGTTATAATATGTATTGTTATATTTTATATCTAAGGTTTGGTTGAAGATATCAAGATTATGTATAACATACTTTACCGATTGTAATTCCATTGTAATCAGCATTATCTACGCTTCAATGAGTAATAGAAGTATCAAGAATTGTATTTTTTCTACATGTGTATCAAATCGATCGACTTTAAAAGAATTGATCTATTTTGATACATTCTTCATGTTTGCTTTATCCGAGGAACAAACCACTGGCATAATATGTAAATGTGTTTTACATTTATGTTCGTAAATAAATGTTTCTTCCAGTTTTATTTTTTATTTGAAAAGTCAGACAGCCCATTATAATATGAATTGAATATAAGTTATTATATCTTTTCTGGTTTAATAGCAGTTTAATGTATCATACATAATTTATCGATTCGACAACTGTTTATAAATTAAACACATGACCATGAATCACACGTGATAATGCGTTTAGTGTCACGAATGTTTACACGTCAGAGTGTTTCCATTGCAGAAATGTCTGTACAAAAACTTATTATTTCTTCAGGTATTTCAAAAGGAAAGAGCGGAAAGGTAATATATTTTTGCAATCTACTAAGCAGTGGTAATGCATGTTTAAATACACTAAAATAATAAAACACGACAAACATTTTGAATCAAATTATTCGCTGCGTATTGCAATTTTCTCAAACTGCTTCTTTACAATTAGTGCGGGAAGTTACTGAGATAAATTATCTTTAAATGTATGTCAAAATAATTTACTGAAAGATGAGTTGTATCTCGTGGTGCACTCGCACGTGATCCAGTAGGTGTCAGCCAACAGTCATCGAGGATACCTGCTCTTATGACTTGTGGTCACGTTTAACGTTTATTTATAAAATATCTTTATTCAATTGGCTATTTTTTAATTATAAATCAGCGCTTGAACGCGAACCCATATATACTTAAGTGAAGATATGGTCGAAGGGTGGTACGCGCTTGCATAGAAGTGCCGATTCACACTGCTCTGAAGGCACCCACGTAAATGGATGGAAACACGGCCTTCAACTTGTTGTCATTAATGTATTATGATCTAAAAGTCGCTGACTTTGTACTTAAACTTCAGTTGCATTATTTACGTCATAATCGACCCCATAGGGATATTTTACGATACAGCACTGAAAGGGTTAGCGTAGGAAGAAAATAATCCGTTATTTTGCCTGTACTGAGACTTTTTTGTGTCTTATTGTGTTAATAATATAATTTAAGATTTTTTTTCCTAGCGCCCGCTTTATTTTTAAACCAGACAGACGCAAACTGATATTTATTTTGATTCTTATTTTCTGTTCTAAGTATTCTCGGCTACTTGTATATGTTAAGTCGATAAAATTAATTTATTATAAGCACACGGCGCTAACGTTTGGTTCTGAATTGCTCCAAGAGTATTCGTGGATTATTTATATAAATAAATTGTAGTTAAATTTTTACTGCAGATGTAGGTCTATTAGACGAACAATTGAACAACATCCAAACAGAAATTTACATGCTAATTAAGATAAAGACAAAAGTACACAAGCTAGTGACATTGAGAAGTTAATAGACAAAATTTATTTTAATTTTGTACTGTTCTGAAACACATTTTGCTCTATATATTCATATTTATGGTTATAGTTGTGAAATTTTTTATTTGTTTAAATATCGTTTTTCCAGAACATTATATCTATATCAGAATATTTGATATTAAAATGTATTACCGATTTGATTTCAGGTAATGGGTAAGAAAAGAAAAAACCAAGATAATAATTCGGACAGTATTGATGCAAGTAAAAAGAAAAAGAGCAAAACAATCGAAGATGGAATCTCGAATGATGTTATTACAAGTGTGAACATAAACAATGATACTGATGTTCAGTGTAGTATTAGTAAAAAAAGAAAAGATAAAAAAGCTAAAAAATCGATTGCGGACGACGTTATAGAAAATGTAAACGAAGATCGTGAAACAGGTGCACAATCCAACAATAAGAAAAAAAAAGTTAAAATACTGGATGACAAAATTACTGCAGACGTTGTTGAAAAACAAGACAATGAAATTAGTGTAGTACAAGTGAGTAGTAAAAAAAGGAAGGGCAAAAAAATAAAAGATGGACTTTCGAAAGATAATATTAAAAATGTAATCGAAGCCAGTGAAAGTGATGTACAGTCTAGCATTAATTTTAAAGCAAAAAGTAATAGCGGAACACCGAAAAAGATAATATTTGTTGACGATGAACCTCAGGAAGTAACGTCTAATAATGAAACCAATAAAAGTAAACCTTTCAAGAAAATAAAAGAATATAATAGTGATTTATTAAAAGAAGAGGATGTAAAAGATGAAGATATCGATAAGTTTTGTGATGAATTAGGAGAAGATGACAATAAACAATATGAAAACTGGGTGCAATTGATTGAAGCTAGTTTAAGTTCAAATAAAAAGAAACCAAAATAACAATTTGTTGATATTTTTCATTTAATTTAGTCCCTAGTAGGTTCAGGCTCGGATGACATTTATTCGAATGCTGTGAATTCGCCTTTTTAATGTAATATGAAGTATTTACCTTAAAAAATATAAAGTATTTTTTCTACAAAGATTATTATTACATTAGGAGTTCGGACAAGTTCATTAAAATGTTGTTTTTGTTTCAAACGAGGAATTTATCATTAAAGCGATGAACAAAAAGGTGAAGTGTATGAGAACCTCAAAAATATTTGTTTGGTTTGGTACATACAGTATTTAAATTTAAATGCGTCCTAAAAAGACTTACTGTGATCTCCTCTACAGTCTACATCTTATAATTAATGATTTGTTCCGTAAAACGGTCATTGAAATCCAATCCTATTCTTAGTATCACTGGGTGAGATCCAGATTTCTGAGTGACCTTTTCGATAAGAAATTAATTATAGCAAGTCACTAGCATTAATGCAATATTTTTTTAGACAAAAAAGACACTTGTATTTTTCTGAATACAAAATTAATAATATCGACGTTATATTCACCAAATATACGATTGAAAAACTCAAATCTTGTAACACTGACTAATCGTTGGCAGTTGACACTGACATATTGTTTTTTTTTTATTTAGACAAGTGAATAAAATATTATCGTATAGAAAAACACGTGTTGTTGAATGAGTTTTATTATATTTGAGATAATTGTTAAATAAGTTATAAAATCGGAAATTAACTATGACAAGATTCGCTAGAGCAAAAGGCTCCAAGTCTTCAAACCAAAAAGCTCCCGAAGATAGTACACCATGGGAAGTTATGAAAGAGCAGATCATACAATCAAAAAAAGAATCTGAGGAAGCAAAAAACAGAGAAGAGGTAAGTCAATCTAAAATTACTGCTACATTCATTTTAGTTTTCGGTCACATAACCTAAAATCATATTTATTACAATTACAGGCTGAACAAAAGCGAATAGATAACTACTCAAATTTCCTAAAAGAACAGAAAGTACAAAAGCGAAAAGCTACTTGGTGTGACTTTCCGGAAGCAGAAGTAAATAAGAAGATAGATAATGATAATAAAGTTGAACAAAATGAGAAATCACATAAAAAGAAAAATAAAAACAAAAAGACATTTGAAGAAACTCAGAGCCAGTCAAGTAATGAAACGCAAGGACAAACCGACGACACCAATCAAACAAATATTTCAGTAAAACAAAAGAAAAAGGATAAGAAAAATAAGGTAACAGTCCAAAATAATGAAGATAAAAACCATGTTGACAATTCAGTTGAAAAAGTCGAATTAAATAACACGGAGCAATTACCAAATGGTAATTTATCAAAGAAGACTAAAAAGAAGAAGTCACAGCAATCTCAAAACAATAATAAAAATGATGAAACCAAGGAGGGCCAAAGTACTAAAACCGATGCCGTCCAAGAAACTGTAAGTAACAAAAACAATTCACAGGTTAAAAAAAAGAAAAACAGCAATCAAAAACCTACTCGAAGGAAAGATGTAAATGATAGAAGCTTCCAATTAATAGTAAATGGTAAAGAAATTGAATTGATCAGATTTGATGGCTTCCCTATTATGAAGAAGGATGCTGAAAGACTAACAGAATTGAAAAACAATATGATTAAGAAAGGTATACCTAAAAGTGAAGTACAAAGGACAATGAAACTGGAACGAAGACGAGCTGAAAAAGCTCTAGCGAGAATGAAACGTGAGGTTTGCTACAATTGCAGGAAAGGTGGTCATAATCTTTCAGATTGTCCAGAACTAAAGTCTAAAATACCAGGAGTGGATAGCGCTGAAGGAGTTTGCTTCAAATGTGGCTCCACTGAACATAGACAGTTTGAATGCAAAGTGCAGAGAGATAAGGAGTTCCGATTTGCTACTTGCTTTATATGTAAAGAAGCTGTAAGTTGTTTTATGTATTTAAAAAATTGTACTTAAAATAATTATTTCATAGCTTCATTACTTTGATGACTAGCTGACCACTTGTTAATTTGTTCACCTTATGACATAAAATCGAAATTGTTTTGTGGTTGTTTTAGGAATTGTTGTTTGAAAATATGTTAATTTATTTTTTGCAATCCTTTCCAGGGTCACATTGCTCGGCAATGTCCTGATAATCCAAAAGGATTGTACCCGAATGGTGGTTGTTGTAAACTTTGCGGTGATGTAACTCACTTGAAGAAGGACTGTCCTACTGTAAGTAAAAATATTCATTTGCATATATTATGTAATATATAGCCTAACATAGAACAAAAAATCCTGTTTTAGAGGCAGTTTCTTTGCCTGTATTACATTACTTTTTAATGTTCTAAAAGGAATTAGTTTCATTTTTTAGCAATTTTAGTGTTTAATAAGACAGCATAGAAGATGGTGTTAAAACAGATATGACTAAAGTTTTGTGCCTTCTTTTATGATTGTCATTATCATCATCATCATCAACTTGCCCTTATCCCTTATGGAGGGTCAGCACAGTATGTGATTAATGATTGTATAGGCAGTATACTATAACAAAATAATAATTTTAAATTTCTGTAAATTTTCAGATGAAAGACAAAAGAGAGGAAACTTCAATAAAACTGAATACATTAAGTGCTTCCGATAATCTAGAAGATATAGCTCAAAAAACTGGGAATAATGTTACAGATACAATTAAAAAACCCAAGAAAATCAAATTTTAACATATGAATTTTTAAAATAAATATCTTATGGAAACAACTTTGCTTATAAACTAGTCTATGTTATAATGTCTTTTGAAATTTAATATTAGTAAGTTCTTTGAATTATATGGCGTCTAGGCTTGCTTTTAGTTGTTCTAAGCTTTGAGCAGCAATTAGCCCGGTCATTCCTTCGGGACTCTGTGGGTCTTCCCGACTTAGGATCCTCTCAGCATCAGCAAGACATTGAATGGGCTCTTGTAATCGATCCTTCAACTTCTCCTTTGTTATAAGGCCAATACTGTATTCATTCCTTGCGAGATACATCAGTGGTGCATGCAATTCATATAAAATCATACCTGTAAACAGAGATTAGGCATAAACATAACATTTTAAACAGAGTATTTAAATTTGATGATCTTTGATAAAAGCTGCCCAACAATATCATCACTGCCTAATTTAAGTCCCTTTCTCTTTACCACCTTTTTCTCGTAAGGAGAGGATGCGAAGGGGAAGTGGATTTGACGGAGAAGGAGATACATAGGAAGGGGAAATATCCTCTTTATGTGCATCTCCTCCTCTGTCGGATAAGGGTAGGCAACGCATCTGCAATTGCGGATGTCTGTGGGCAGCGGTCGCTTCGCCATTTTGGCGGATTCAGGTGGCCGCTTGCTCGATTGCCACCTCTTGTTATTTAAAAAAAAAACTTTTTTATATCATTAAAAAAAAGTTCAAAAATCGTAATAACTGTTGGGTAATCTAAAATATTGTATTTTTGTAATGGATAAACTAAAAATCTATTGGACAGATTTCAAAAATTCTTTTACCATTAGAAAGACATATTGTCGCTGTGTGACAAACAATATTTTATTTTCATATTGTTGCAAAATATTTAAAATAAACGTCCCATGCAAAACGTGGTCGGACCGCTAGTAATTTATATGCTGCTTATTCCATTTCTATTATAAAACCTACGTTACCTCTCATCCGATTATCACCAGGTATGATAACAGCTAGAGTCTTCAGCACTAGTCTACAGAATTCAGCCTTGCGCTCTAACATCACATCTGTTAGTTCATCAATGGAGTAGGTCGCCACGCGCCCGTACATTTGCGCCAACGCGTACTTAATGCATATAAGGATCGAATGACGCGGGTGAAAAACTGATTTATACTGGAAACAACAATTAACAAATTATTACATTTATTACGTAAGTATTTTTTGATTTCAATTCAATCAACTGCCGTAACGACGTGCACAAAAAATATTTCATATCTCTGTGACACGTTCTGTGCTAGTTTGAGTGACAGAGATAGCGCTCTACAGAACGATAGTATCCTGTTTCTAAGGGTCGATGTACATTATGGTAGCGTAATATACCGTATCACTAAGAGCATACAATGTTACCGCTTATCGTACTTTATTGAGAGTAGCCTCTCTCTGTTCAATAGCCTGTGGTCCAGGCTCTAAGGCGTCCAGTAGATCGACTTCGGCTTGTACCACAGATAACATCTTACGCATCGCACTGCCAGAAGTCTTGAAACCACACGTCTTCTCTGTGCAAAGCCATTGTGCTTCATTGTCTGAAATAATTGTCCATGTATTGTACTTGCTTTTTGAATTACGGAACTCAATGTGTGTAAAAAATGGTATTTTTTTTTAAATATACATGTTTTTCGATGTTGAAAATTTATCATAGTGGGTTTGCTTTCTAATAACAACCAATATGAACAGACACCTCAATATTTTGTGCTATTTCTCACCTAAAGGATTCGTAGATAAAATAACACCATTATCGCACTTGCTACATTTAACAGTACTAAGATGTGTGCCCAATTCTGTAGGGTCAGAACAACGCGGACAATCGCAGTTGAAGAACTTGGACTCTAAGAGATATTCTCGTCGCACGATAGTAGGCGAGAGAGCGTGCGTGTAAGATAGATGTAAAGGGTCACCCTGCTTCATAGGTATTGCCGCTCTTACTTCTACCCTGTAATGCAATTAATATGCGTTATTTGGTAGAGTTTGTGTCCTAAACGGCTTAATGGATCACGATGAAATTTGGCATAGATATGAAGGATAGTCTGGAAGAAGACAGGCTACTTACTTTTGTTTCTTTTGATAATTCCGCGCGGACTGTCGCGTGCGAAAGCTAGTAATGGTATTAATTCTAAGCATAGATTATAAGCTGCTAACAGAGTTTTTTTTTTTGGGGCATGAAATATTTCTCAATACTCCCAGACAAATGTGTTTTATTAGTTAACGTTTCAAAAGGTCGGTTTAAAATTAGATAATTAAAACAAAAGACAAAGCGTTCCCGACAGAAAATTGGCAGCTTTCCACTCCTTATATTTTGTTAGTAAAACCGTTCAAACATTATGTTATATGACACTATATTAAAACGTAAAAAAGAAAAAAAAGCACGTTAGGGATAAAATGCTAATTGTATAACTTGAAAAAAATAGCTTTTTCAAATGGATTGTTGGTTTGGTTTGTTAGCACAAGAATTGTTGGTATATAAAGAATAGTTTATATTTTATTTATAATGAGTATCTAATGTTTCCATTTATTTTATCATTACCTAGTATTTCACTAATGTTGAGATAAACTTAATTTCAAAGGGAGTAAAACTCAAGATACGTAGTTCGGAAACACATTCCATGATGTTATCGAAGCAAAAACACTAACGAATGGTTAAATGTAGCTGAGAAACCGGCTATTAGTGGTTTATAGTATGTACAGTACTTGTAATTGTCCTGTAGGATGGTATGCACGATGTTGGGCACGCAGCTGTGCGCGGCGATGGCCAGGCGCGGGTACACTGCGCGTATACTGAATCCACCTCGGGATGGTATTTCTACTGCATTTACCTACATAAATAAAGCTAAATCAAAAGTTTTTAAGATAACGTACTTAGCAGAAATTGAGGACTGCTTAATAAGCTGTTTTTCTGTGGCTTTTAAGCATGGTTATATCTTTCTGCGGTAATAAAATTTTTAATTATATTCATTTGAAGTCTATTCTTATCAATAAACATTAGGTATTACCTCAAGTATACCGCAAGCCTTCTCCACCAATTCCTTGCTGAAGCGGTCTCCTAGCTTGCAGTGGACGACCAGGAAGTTCACGATATTGACTTGATCCACGGACCACAAAGGCCGCTGCTGCCGCGCCTCCGAATGTACCTCCATCATTTCTAGTTCTTTCTGCCATCGCTCTGAATCTTTCTCTTTTGCTAGAAGTAATCTGAAATGGTTGAATATTTTAATTTCGTATTAGTATTTGCGTCTTGTTGCTAAATGTGTATTTACCTCAAAGGTGTGATGCAGTCAAGTTGGGGAGCGCTAGCTGTCCAGTCAGTCACTGGCTGGAAGCGCACTTTAACTGAGCTAAAGATCTCACATTCGGCGGCGTGTTGGGGCGATCGTTCGCATTGCGCTCCGCATACCGGCCAGCCGCACCGAGAGCACAATGTATTCTCCACAGGACAGTAGCAACTAAGGCATAATGGAGGAGTATCTGTTCGCAGATGAGGCGTATTATCGCTAAAGGATATTTGACTAAGAAGATTAATAAGGAACGCTCCTTTTAACGCGACAGGACGATCTGACGTAACATATTAAAATCGTCAGAATTTTACATGTATTACAGCACTTGCCTGCTTTAGGTCCAACAGCGAATGGTAGGTCCGTGAATATTAATTCACCACTATCTAAGTCCTTGTTGGCAACTAAATATCGACCGTATTTGTCGTCTCGTAATACGTCATAATGTTTAGCGGCCATCGTAATAAATTAGATTCGCTAACTAATGAATCCGCTTCGACTGTCGGCTGAAGATTGAAGCGATGTTCCTTGGCGTGCAACCAGGAGAGGCTAAAATAAACCTGCTACTAATCTAGAAATGGAACATTCGAAATATCGAGTACATACGATGATTTATACTCTACTTGGTATATATGCATTTAGGGTCAGTGACCAACAATATTCTTTTATTAATCTTAAAGTTGTTTCTAATTAAAATTTTATTAACACGCTTATGTAGAGCCGAACACGAAGTTAGAGATATAGGACCTTGGTTTAAAAACAATAATGAATATAAAATAACATAACAGTTTACTTAACACCTTATCATCTGCTATTGAATCAATAGCTTGGTGTGTCGCAGTTCATGATGTAACTTCTGCAGTAAAACTGCCTTAATATCGATCAAATCGCTGCGGCCTACTTAGTCAATGCCTAGTCATTCGACAAAGGTCATTCAGGATGAATTTGAGTTTTGACTTTTCAAGCTTCAATAACGCCAATTAAATTTTTGTAACGTTAAAAAATGATTTACTCTGCCTACTCCATTTAATAAAATAACACATATTTTGTAAGATTTTAATAAAGATTGTCTATTACTAACGTTGTAGTTATTTTGAGTATGTCCTACATGTGAAACTAAAAAAGCCAATTAGAATTTAACTATTTCAAAATTTTAAGTGATCTAGTTACCCTGCGTTGCCAAATGACAAATTAAAATACTAACCAATTTATTTAAAATATAATTATTCATAGCTTTTTTAAAGTAAAAATGTCAATTTTTGAATATTTATTTGGTGTTAATTACAAAACGGGCAGTGAAGGTATATTACAAACTTTAAAGTTGCCTAAGATTTTTGCAGTTGTTACACAAGAAACGATACCGTGTCTCCGAGATGTGAGTAAACTTTTTTGTTTCATGTGATGTGATGCTAGTACACTAACACTAGTTAGTTACTTAGTTCTCACTGTATATCTCCCATACGAAATCTCTAAAGGTCCCGCTATATATTTTTTACGTCTCTAAGTGTGACGAAGAAGATAAAGTCGCACCAGTGTTGCAGCGCGTTGAATATAGTATCTTTATTTGCGGTCATGGGTTAGAATTCAGCTCTATGTATTTTTTTAAATAAATGCTTAATATGTTGATTAATAATTTTTAATTTTGTTACTTATAGGATGGTACTCTTGGAGAAAAAATCATATGCAAAAACGAATATGGCGAGAGAGTTGATTGCCCAACCGATGGTGATGAGGGTGATAATGAGGATTTCAACTTCTCAGGAAAAGTATGTGTGATAATAAAACATTTTAAAGTGTAAACAATAAGTTCCGAGACCGAGAACGCTTGTTTGTCAAAACTTTTGTTTTTAAAAATCGCGCGCTGATTTAGTAACATAGATACAAAATAAAAATTTAAGGACAAAGAGAGTAAACACCAGACAATGGCATTTTAATATTTTTTATCAAATAGTAAAAATATATTCTAAATTAGGTTCTTGTTAATGTAGTTTTATAAGTTTTTTGTAAAAAAAGAATTATATTGTCTTTACACACGTTACGTATGAAGAAAATGTCATGAGCAGAGTCAAACCTACATCTTTTAAACACAATTGAATTATTTAAAGCTATAACTCTTTAATTATAAAGTCTAAAATTTGGACAACACTTAAAAATCATCATTTTAAAATTGTTTACTAAAATATTATTTTTTCTGTTCACTGAATTTAAATAATTCCTAAAACGTCGATAACCCCATTTCCGGGTAAAGCGCCCCCTGGCCAGATTTTTCTCAAACTAGAATTGTCTTGTGGTGTTGTACAGGGGTGAAGTTATTCCTAGGAATTCACAGAATTCAGTATATCTAGTTTCAGTAAGTGAAATCACCTAACACACAGTAAGTAAATAGCTACCATAATTATTTCAAGATTATTGTTTTCGTTAATATCATTGATTTAGCATAAATATAATCGGTACCGTTATAAAGCCGGGGACGTTTGACGTCATACACGTGATTATTAATTTATCTATAATTTTAGGGTAATTTAACATTATTTGTCCTTATCCATTTATTACATTTAAATAGTTATACCGTAGAGCATTTATTATGGCTTGGTATTTCTTTAAATAACCAATGGCTAACCAATACACATTTATAAAAATCTTGCTGACAATGTAAAATCTTTTGGCGATAGGTCAAGTTTACGGTCACGGCCTGCGTACGAATCTTATTTTAATGAATGTTATAATGGGATTTTGTTTTAATTAGTATCTTTCTGTGTGATGGGTCCCGTTATACCTGCGTGTTATGTAATACCGTTATTGAGTGACATAAATTTGCCAAGTCGACCCTGACACAACTGGCGCAGTTCGCGAATTTATGATAAGGTTTTTAAAAAAATTCAAACTTGATATTTCATTGGTGTGTAAATTATAAAACCATTTATTTTGTGTGAACGATGATAGTTGGGTTGAAAAATAAAAAAAAAACTGTTTAAGACATGATTGATGTCTATTGAACTGTATGAGATATTAAACTTTTTCTTTTTTACAGAAAATGGCACCCCCATACTATGCAGATCTGGGCAAGAAGGCCAATGATGTCTTCAGCAAAGGCTACCACTTTGGTGTGTTCAAACTCGACCTGAAGACAAAGAGTGAATCCGGTGTAGAATTCAGTAGTGGCATCACCTCCAACCAGGAGAGTGGCAAGGTATGCTCACACATACTATGTAATCATTCCTGTTCCCCTTTTTCAAGACAAAGTATTCAAGTAAATTTGAAAATTTTTGTCTAAATTAAGTTAAAAAAGTATTACATGACTAGACTTAAATTTTTCACATTTGCTCCTTTCAATTTGTAGTAAGACTATTTTCCATTGCCCTGTCTTGCACATCAATGATATCCTGATATTTTATATAAGATGCATATCACGATTCATACATCAATTCTTGTACTAAATTGTTTAATATTGTTCCAGGTATTTGGCAGCCTTTCATCCAAATATGCAGTGAAGGACTATGGTCTAACATTCACAGAAAAATGGAACACAGACAACACCCTTGCTACCGACATTACCATCCAAGACAAAATCGCCGCTGGCCTTAAAGTCACCCTTGAGGGGACTTTCGCACCACAGACTGGGTAATTTAGGATTTAGTTCACTCCTTATTTCTACTGAGTTTAAAAAAAAGGTTATACCAACACACTAAAATCAAAATCTCAAATCTTATTTTTATTAGTTGTTTGTCACACTGGATACTAAAAAATTAAGGATTAATAATTACAGCAATTTCTTGACATAGACTTCTAGTCCTAAAGCTACATTAAAGATGTGATTAAGAAGTTAAACATATTAGAGATATTTAAAAGAAACTAACATGGAAAACTTCCACAGGAGCAAGACAGGTAAACTGAAGACCTCCTTTTCCAATGAGACGGTGGCGATTAACACTAACCTTGACCTGGACATGGCCGGACCAGCTGTGGATGTGGCTGCAGTTCTTAAATACCAAGGCTGGCTGGCCGGTGCCAACACCCAGTTTGACACACAGAAGGGCAAGTTCAGCAAGAACAACTTCGCCTTTGGATACCAGACCAACGACTTTGCCCTGCACACCAATGTGTAAGTAAATTTTACCATATTACGCAAACAATTTTAACAGCTAAATTCAATAAACAATCTTTAACTATTCTTTCTTATATAATAGCCTTTAAAAGTGTATTATAAATGATCAATGTTGCAAAAATAATTAAAACCATTTAAAGAGTAAAAAAGCTATATTTTGTACTTCTTATGAATAAATAACTTCATTTGTTTTGACTAGTCATGTATCAGATGCAACAAACTATACTAAGAACAATGAGCAATTAAATTTCATTTTAATGCCCAGCAATTATGCCAGTAGTTCTAGAATTTGACACATAATGTAAACACTAACTGGTTCTACTAAGTCCTTACAGTCAATGCCTGCATTAGTCAAACAAAACCAGGCATAAACCTTAATCATGTGAAAGATAATCTAAGTGGTAATGAAGTAGGACATAGAAACAATAACATTTTATAGCCTTATGTAACACTTGGTAGGTACTCTTTAACTGGTACTAGTTTGAACTGACATTTTAGTATTCATGTTGATGATTCATTTTAGCACATTGACTTTAACTGAGTGTATAAAAAAAGTAAAAAACAGTGTACTTAAAATAGTTCTATAGTTAAATAACTAAAGGAACTACTTTCCTCTTTAATAATTATATGAAAATAAAATAAGAGATAATTCTAGCAAATTACACATTATTATTCATTCTTGTTTTTATCTTGTGAGAAATAAGATATTACAATAATATACAACCTTGTAGAAATTAACAAAAACTTGCAAACTTACATTCAAACTTAAAATGAATAATAAGTAATATAAACTACAGACACGCCTAGTTTTTTATTCTAAATTATAATCAAATAAGTGTTTTCAATATAAATAATATATCTTCTGTGTTATAAACAATAATGAAGTTGGATGATTATAAAACAACCTTGTAGATAAATTACTACCTATATAAAAATAATCATTATACAGTGTTATAAACAGTAACAAATTCTTAAATTCACAAATGCTTCAAAGATTCAATATAGATTTAAGATATGCTTCAAATGAAAAATACTAGTATTTTAATTAGATAGAGTAAAAAAAAATAACTATTGGTATGAGTCATCCATCACAATCTAAGTATTTTTATCTATCTTGGTGCAGAAGAAATAGCTTTGCTCCTACTTAAATTCTATTTAAACTGAGCAAATATATTCTTGACTGAATGAAAGTGGATGGTAAATAATTGTAATTTTTAATGTATAGGGACAATGGCAAGAACTTTGGTGGTTCCATCTACCAGAAGGTGTCTGACAAGATCGACTGCGGCGTGAGCATGCGGTGGACCGCCGGCTCAGCCGACACACTGTTCGGCGTTGGTGCTAAGTTCGCGCTGGACGCGGACGCCTCCCTGCACGCCAAGGTCAACAACAAGTCCCTCATCGGACTCGGATACCAGCAGAAACTACGCCCCGGTATGTTCACATCTTATTATACATTACTGTTGCCCTCAACTTGGTTTGCAAGTCGAATTAGTAACCTATGTGCTCTTCCCAACTATTCTATCATACATCTGTGCCTAATATAACAGACATATAGTAACGCCAAATATAACAAAAGTACATCTAAACTTTCGCATTTATATATTAGTAAGATTTGTGTATATTTTTTTATAAATTTTATAATAGTTAAGTAACAGAAAAAAATCATCTCCAGAATTCAAACAGTGAAATCAGTGCTGAAGACAATCTATAGGATCTATTTTAGGCCTATTTTTATCACATGATCTCGTGTTGTTGTCTAGTATCACCACATCTTATCATTTGTGCGTTATCTAGAACTGTCGGATATCGTACGACTTACGCGTTATATAAGGCCTACGGGAAATGTTCCTATTGCCAATTTGTTGATGTTTATCTATAAAGAATTTAATAGATAGGCTTGATGTATTATATAAAGTGCAAATCTTATACATTCTGTGTGCCCAATCTATCATCGAAAAAGTTAGATACGATATTTTAAGTGACATCAAAAACAATATAGATAGCATGATAGTAAAATACAATTTGATACCTAGGAATTGTAAAATTAGATTGTACTTGGTTTTAAATTGCATTGTATTGAATTTCAGGCGTAACCCTGACTCTGTCCGCCGCCATCGACGGTCAGAACTTCAACGCCGGCGGGCACAAGGTCGGCGTCGCCTTCGAGCTGGAGCCCTAGGCGGCC